GATTTCAGCTGTGTTCCACCGCCTCCATGTGTCTGGCTTGCCTGGCTTTTAGGAGAAGCTTTGAAGTATGCGCTTCCCACCAGCATGTCCTCCAAGAAGCCGTAAAAAGGAGAGATGTGTGCAGAGATACTAAATTGCTGGCAAGATAATTACAATTTTCTATGTTCTTCATTTTCTTCGTATGTCAAAGATAGGCACAAGAATCAGCACAAAGGTTCAGAAGGTTGTCAACAAATGGATTTTGGTACTTGTCTTATTTTCCTCCAATAAAAGAAAGAATGTGGGGTCATGCCCTTTCTGTATGGTTCTTTTGCTAATCAGTGATTTGAAGGAACTGTACATGAAAAGCTCCCCACTGAGCTTACTAGATTGTATATAGCAGTCTTATTATTTGGTGTTAGTGTTAAATGTCCACTTCCTTCTCCGTCTCCACACAGATAAATTAAAACTTATCCTATGGGCCCCTGTGTTGACTTGATTGTACAAAGTGCTAAGGAAAGATAAAGTTTTTTAAAAATAAGCTTGAAACAAGAAAAATCCATTCGAGCTGCAGTGCAATGTGCAATTGGGCAATGTGTTGTTGTAACTTCAGCAAGAGTCAAGTAACATGACTGTGTAAGTAGCTGCTACAAGACTCTTCTAAAAGTAAAATCTATGGTGTCACTATTCCCCTCTTCCCTGCTCATTTTCAGGAGTTAGACATAGGGTGAAATTAACAGGACAGTCTCTAAAATGTGCTTTTTATTAGGACTAGAACTTGAGAGTTTCTCAGCTTGTGCAAACAGAATTGTTGCATTATCTGCTGCTATTCACGTGCTTTATGTTCCCTCTGTATAACTTCTTGCTATTTGTATGTAAGGAAAGTTGGCATTTTTACATATGCAAATTGTTGTGAAGTAGATGGCTTTCTGTGGTTGTGACGATAACTGAATTGTATGATTAGAGTATTTAATGTGAGATGTTATAAATAACAAGTGCAAGGCATGTACTGCACTACTGTAGAGACTGTGAAAAGGCTTGTATTCTAACTGGGAATGCTTACAGCGTGTTTGGTACAATATTTCCAGTGCAACAGAAGCTGCAAGCTGCATTTTGAAAATCTGCTGTTGCAAGACTGAAACCCTATTGCTTACTAGTGTGTTTTTAATGTGAAAAGTCAATATTTATACACTGCACCTAAAGGCGTACCTGAGGAAAAAGGAAAGTCTGTTTTCATTCTGAGCCCTTGTTTTGGTTCATAGCACTTGCAATAGGGATGAAAGTTTTCCTACTGAAGGTGAGAAAGAAGCATTTCACACTGAATTGCTATTAGTCTTATTTCCAAACTACCAATTCATGATTTACACTTGGGAGCTTTCAGACTCAGTTTGCTTGGGCACCCACTGACCTTGAAAGCTCACACAGCAGAAAGGATGCTTGCCTCTGATAGTAATTTATTTTCTCATATGATACTGTAGTACACTCTAGTACCTTCCCCACTCTGGAAATGCAGCGAGCCTCATACACTGTCAATTAATTCATAAGCATTCATTCATATTTTGATATAAAAATTTCAAAATTCAAAAATTTCAAAAAATTCTTTTACTTCTGAAGTTTACCCTTCCCATGCCACAGGGAATATTTATATTGCCACAGATCATCGATTTGTGCCCTCTGTCTCTTGCTATCTGCACACCTCCTCTAGGCTGAATAACCTGAGACTATTGCTCAGAATTCTCACTCTTCACCTCTTCAAGGATCTTTCCTAATTGTCTCCAACCTTCCTTCAAAGGCTTTTTTTTGACCTTGCCACTCTTGGTTACTTCGGCCCCTTTGCCTTTGATGTTCTGCTCAGAAATCGATCCTGCCAGTGGACTCTGGCTTTACCCATTTAGCAGAGGTCGTTTCTAATTTAGATGACAATGTGACTCTCAGCACTGTTTAGGAAGGGTTTCTATTCTCAGAAGCTGATAGTGTTAAGCATGACAAGTGTATACGTTGTCAAATGTTAGAACAAGAAAATTTCCCCGTGATTTACTGTATTCTTTGGAAATACTTTGTGTATGTTTACAGAATGCTCTTCTACCTCTGCCCTTCAGTACCTTTGAAACCTCTGGGAACTGCATACTGAGCAAAAGAATGGGACATAGGACTGCCCTAAAGAGTACTTCTAAATTTAAGCTTCAGGGTTAACTTTTGGTGCATAAGTACACTCATGCTGTGTAATGTAAGTACCTACTACTTTTATAAAAGTTCTCCTTTGGGGGAAATAACATTTCCCCCCAAAATAGGTGGTTATTACATTGCATACATGAGATCTGAAAAGAGTCAAATACGGTGCTCAGATGCTGAGATGAATTTACACTGCTGGTATTTGAAGGGAAAGGGTTCCCTGTAATTACCCATTCTGTTGGTGAAATAAATTCATGTTAGTGCCTTAATTTTGTTAATTCTCAAATTTGAACAATCCTTAGTTGTATTATCAAAGCATAATTTATTTGCTTTTATGAAGTCTTTTCCATCATCTAGGAAAAACAGCTTATATCTTACAGTCAGGATAGTATAGCAACTTGTCTATTGCATTTTATTTTTTAAACGACATTTCCTTTCAATATCCTCCTCCTTAAAAGTAAAAATGATAGCATTTCATAGAGGTTAACACTTGCCAATCTGTAAATGAAATCAGCTTCCATTATTGCATTATCTGCACCTGTGAGAGGGAATGTAATTCACTGTGACTGATTTTTTTTCTCTTGTGCATTATCATTCTGTGGATATAGTCCATAAATAGTCTCCATATGGCATCAAATAATTTCACCATTGTTCTGCAATCTGCAACTCATTTTTTCAGGTGATGTCTACTTTTAAAATTACGCACAATTTTCATGATTACATCTACAATATGTATACCTCTTTAAATAAACATTTTAAAAGTCAGTGGGCTGTAACTACTTTCATAACTTCATTTCCTACTTTCATGTCTGTTCACATTTAGACACTAAAATTAGTTTCTTAGACTGTCAGAAGCTTTGGCATTTTAAAATTGATAATACTACTAAGTTAAGCGTGAAATTTCTAGGATCCTAACCCAAAACAGTAGGCCAAAATTTAAGGGAGAAAGTAGTGCACAGATGCAGAGTTTCTCATCTCCATTACTATTTCCTTTAGTTAAAGATCCCTTAGGCACAAACTCAGTGCTTCAAGTCTGTTGCTCTCCACTATAGAATTTTGGACTTGGGGGAAGCTAATGTGTGAGTTTCCTTTTGGGGGACTTTTATAAATTATGATTTTCTGCCTCTAGCCTCAATGATTTTTCCACATTTAAGAAGTATTTCACTTTAAAATCAGTGAAGATTTTCATGATGAAGTCCCATTCCTCTCCTTTCCTTTCTCCGTACCTTTGTTCCCCCCTCTGCTCCCCATAATATCCTAGACTTTTTCAGAGAAGAAAGGCACTTATGTGCACAGACATGAATGTACAGCAAATGACTTTCTAATTTAAGTCCCTACAGGTGGGTGCTTAGCTCACAAATTAGAAGCTTTTAGTTCACCAATGAAGTCTAGTTTCAGAAGATGTGGCTTTGCCTTGTTAGTGTTTTTTATTGCAAGTGTTAAGAATAGTGATGGAGTTTCAAGGCCAGCAAAATGAGGGGAGGACTAGTTCCAGTTTTCCATCTGCTTGATTCCCAAAGCATCAGGTTGCTGCAGTAGAAATGACAGAAGGACTTCATACATACTGTAAATTTATTTATACTTCCCACACATCATTGTTATCTGTTTTGCTGTTGTTGTTCCTCCCTTCCTCCCTTCCTCCCTTCCTCCCTTCCTCCCTCCCTCCC